TTCCTCGATGAACTCGTCAAGTTCGCGCTGTTCGAGGGGAGATCGGATACACCTTGCAGTTAGCGGGCTTGGCGTCGGGGACGAGTTCGATAGCGTGGTCCCAAGCCCTTCGTTCTGGTAACGTGTCAAAGGACTCCTTGTCGAAGACGTCTTGGAACTCCTTGGCCCAGTCCGGGATCTCCGAAGGCGGAGGGGCCGAGTTACGGGCGAATGCCTCTGCAAGGCGTTGGGACACTGTACTGCCAGCGGGATCTCCTCAACTGGGCGAAAGGAGGTGTAGAAGATGCGGTCGCCGTCTTCAAGATGCTCGTCGCCGTCGAGATCTGGTGAGGGCTCCGGAGGGTCCGGGCAGCTCCGAGCTCGTCGTCAGCATCATCTGGGCCAGCGATATCGATAGCGCAAACAGTGGGGAAGGCGCCCGCAAGTAGTCGTGATTTAAGGAGTCGGAGCCGCCGAACCTCGGCGCGTTCGGTCCGCTCTTCGTCACGGCAGGTAGAGCAACTGCGGGGGCAACGACTCATTTTCACCTCCTTTGTTTCCCAGTTGATCTCGGGGTTATGCTTTTTGAGCCAGGAGTATCCGAGTATCAGGTCCTGTTTCCCAAGGTGGGTTACAGCCAGCTGAACGCGTTCGGAGTGTCCGTTGTACCGTAGAACGAGGTCCGCGATTTGGCGAATAGACCCAGCATCATTGGGGGTGCCGTCGACGTTGTAGACCGGGATGGGTACTGAGAGATTTCGGACTGGCACATTATTCCGGTTGACATATTCTGTGTCGATAAAGTCCGAAGTGGCTCTGCAGTCGACCAGACCCGAGAGGGAGAGCTTGAGCGCGTTCGCAGTGGACTCAAGTTCAAGGGGGAGATGCAGCGAGTTAACGCCAGGAGCGGCAGAGATGGTATAACTGCCAGGTAGCTTTTTCTCCCAGGCAAGTCGGCGAATCCGAACGGGGGCTTCGGAGGGGGCAGAGGGTACGTCTTTCGTTTCGGGCTCGTTGTAGGGCAAGGGAGTTGATTCATCATACAAACAAGTGAAACGATTTATGGACGCGAACGAGGGCACACCAGTCACTCGTCGCGGGGGGACAAAATCCTCTGCCGGAGCCTCCGAATGCGCCTCCGCTAAGGCCGCAGTATCGGACAACCGTGCAAGCAGCTCTCCCAGCATCTCATCGCCAAGTTGCTGGATTACCTCGTCGAGGATGTCCACATGGCGGACGTCGGCGGGGGAGCGGACAGTCCCGAGCCAAATGGTTGGGGTCGCCGCATCTGAAGCAGGCTCGACGAGGGGCACCCCGAGCCCTAGTACGATCCAGCTCCATAGGGACGGGAGCCGGAGGTACCGGGATGGGGGCGCGGGCCGCAGGTGGCACAGGCGGGGCCACCGGGCGGATGGGGAAACGGAGTTGCCGAACGAGTGATGGGGAAGGCGCCGCGCGGAGCTCCCGAAGCGGTCCGCGGGGTAGCCGTTCCCTTAATGAGCTTCGCCGCACCAGGGCTTCATATTGTCGGAAAGCCCGAGTGCGCCAGCCCAGATAGTCACGGAGGTCTGGGGGTCGTTCAAAGAGGTGATGCCGTTGTTGATCAAGGGGTCAAGTCCGTGGCGGTACTTGGTTACCTTAACCAACGCGTCTTTGAAGCCAGCGAGGTCCATCAAGTCCTCGAAGTCGTCGGTATATCCGTAGACATCCCGCGTTCCCATGTGATAACCCGCGCTTTCCAACTTAGCGAGCGAGGTCCTGTTTGTTCTCCTCGACGAACCGAAGGCGAAACTCGGAGAGGAACTGGCTCCACCGAGGGAAGGGGAAGGGGTTTTTGCTCCCATGACGCTCTGCCCATTGCTGAGCAGGTCCCTCCGCCATATAGGACATGGCGTAGCGGACGGCCTTTTCTTCGCTCGGCTCTCCGTTAACTACGAAGGCCTCCGGGGCAAGCCGAGCGTAGGTTTTAACCCCGTATAGGGAAGGCGCGGCCGCGTTTGCGATCTCCGTTAAACGCAAACGGGGGGTTTGGTCGTAAGACCAGTTTTGAGGCGACAGTAATGTCACCAAATAACGCATCCGCGTCGGGGGCATTCGGAGATGCCGGCGGCGGTTCGGGAGCTGCCGGAGGTGGTGCGGCAGCGGAAGCCTGGGAAGCAAGGTGGGTGAGGATATTGGTGAGGTTGTCTAGTTTCGCCTCAAGTGCGTCCATGCGCGCGTCAGCGTCCGGAGCAGCTCCGGTAGACATAGCGGGCGTAAAGACGACAAGAGCAGAGGAGGAGGGGTCAAGTGGCAGGGGCGGTGACGAGGGGGGGTATGGACTCGTACTCCGAGCCTGAGTCAGCACCAAACCTGGCAATCTTGACCGGTTAATCCCGTAGAGAGTTTCTTCTGCTGTAAGGGCAACCCTGGAGACTCCGACGAAAGCCTAGCAGGGGAGGATCCAAAGCGTGAATAAGACTACAGGAAATACACGGAGGGACCGACCTAGCAGGGGAGGATCCAAAGAGAAGAAACTCTAAGGGTCCGCCTGCTAGGGCGCCAACTATATACTGGTCGTCCGTAACTGCCGACGTAGAGCGCAGAAGGCCTGAGCGGCGTCGCAGGCTCTGTCCCAAGGTGATCGTTGGGAGGGTCTTGACGGATCGGTGATTGTGCGGGCGAAGGAGGCCGTGGACGATGGTCGGGGTGGGTCGGAGCGTCCGAGGGGGCGCCGGTCGGATGCGCCTCGGATGCATTCGGAGGGTCCGAAGGAGGCCGAAGCGGGGGTTCCCCTGACATCCAGGTACATACAGACCTTACACATATACACATACACATATATAAAAAAAAATTGCAAAAAAAAGTTTCACAAAGATTGATTTTTTTTATCCCACTTCTTGATTGCATCAGGTCATATGATGCGAATCATGGGAATATATTGCCTTATATGGCAGGAGGGGGTCCCCAGAGGGTAGGAAAATAACTTTCCGACCCTATATCCATGTTTTAAATCTTAACCCCCTTGACCGCTCAGGCCTTCTGCACTCTATGTCAGCAGTTGCAGATGACAAGTATACTGTACTATTTCGATTAATTGTCCGCGGCATGTAACACGTAACGCAAACTGTCTGCCGGACAAGGTGTCCGGATTACTATAAAAGGCAAGTCCAACGTCAGAATGAAAAATTGCCTTTTTAGGCCTGGATTTGATGGTAAATCGGACTTGAATGCGTAACGGCGGCCGCAGGTGTCCGCGCCAGGACTGCGTGTAACGCGTAACGCGGACAATTAATCAAAATAGTACAGTATAGTTGGTGCCTGAGCAGGCGCACCCTTAGAGTTTCTTCACTTTGGATCCTCCCCCTGCCAGGCCGGTCCCGCCCTGTATTTCTGTAGCCCTTATTCACATTTTGGATCCATCCCTGCTAGGCCTCTCGATGGAGCCTTCGGAGTTGCTCTTACATACACATCGTACCGAGGTTATTTTTAGTCTTGCATAACTCAAATGGACGGATAAAATGGCCTTTGAACGGCATACTTACTACTCGTACTCACGGAGGCCGAGAATTGATGAGGACCCCTGAAGGTAATTTAGGGAAGTAACAACTCCAGATGAGTTTGAATTTTTTACTGTAGCCATTTGCCCCTCCTCTTGTTCTATGCTGTGTAGCTATAGTAGTCGACATCATGCTACCTGATTTGATCATATACAGAGGCAACACTCATTTAGAGGCAACACTCATTCAACACTAGTGGTGCGGCTGGCGTGCGTTCGTGAGTGGTGCCGGCTGTATGCATTGACTCCAACAGTGTTTTTTTGGCTGCATAAGATAAATATTGAAAACTTGGTTGTGACGGGCACCGGGTTGTGTTATACTTGTAACTTGAGCTTTGAACTTTTGTGGCAACAGGGAGGGCAGGCATGCGTGTGGCATGCATCCAGTGTGCCACACCACGTACGTACTTGCTCCCGCTGAGGCCTAGAATTGACAATCGCATATAGGGTTGAAGGCTAAGTTGAAGTCCCAACATATGGCCCAGGTGCGTCAGCGCCACGCGCTACCATGACGAGCGGCAAGAGTGTGTTCGCGACAGGCACATGCCGCATGGAGTTCTTCGTGCTTAGTAAAGCTTTTTTGCCTGCAAGGCTTTGGCGACAGTCTGCACCAGCTGGCACCGAGGACAAGTTTAGATCATGATGAAGGCACTAGGAATAATGTCGGCATCAACCGTGCCCGAGGCGAGGATGCGCACCGTGCAGCCTCGAAAATATTCATAGACGTCAGGCCGGACTCGGATCCCACGGGGCAGTGGCCCACACACCGGAAAAAGCAAAATATCAGCTCGAACAGAAACTGTAATTGATTTTAGACCAATCTGAAGTAGAATTCAGCCGACTTAAATGCAAAGTTTTAATTGAGCAGAAACCTACTCTGAATTGTACAAAAATCAGCTCCAACAAAACCCCTTCTTTCTTCTGACCCAAAACGGCCACGGAAACTACGCCTATCAGCACTAGTTTCCGCGCTATTGAAAGTGGCAATTTCCAGCTCACTGATTCTTGCACAGAAACAAAGGGTTTCTGTACATAAGTGAATATACATGGATATTTTTTGGTCCTTGTTTTGATACAAAAGTTGGTCTAGAAAAGGCTGTTTGATCTGCCCCTAAACCAGTTGACAAAACTGAGTCTGTTTATAGCATCTCTTTTTCATATAAGCAGGCAAATTTGGAACAATGTTTTTTGGGTGCAAATGGAGGTATAAAAAAATGTATTTTTTTGGTACATTGATTTTAGGTGTATAATCGATCGAAACGGGCACTGTTTATTCCCAAACTACCGCAGTGACTTTTTCCCGTGAGTTCCGAGTCTTGGCGCACGTCATCCGTAGTAGCGAGCGCAAGGGGCCCCGTGCGCGTCGACAGCGCACCCGCACGCGTTGGCATCGCCACCCCCGGCGAGGGCGTGTAGGGTTGTCCGGCGGCGACGCTGACAGTGACGTGCACGTAAGCGGGTGACCGTGACGTGACGGCATCCCGAGACGATCTTCTTTGCTCCGCACCACCACGACCCTTTCTTCCCCGCCTCCTCCTCGACTCGCCGTGCGTTGGCCTTGCTCTCGTCCTATACCCGCGCTGACTCCTCACAGATGCTTCCCCTCTCGCTCCTCCTCTCGCTCTCCCTGTCGCTCCCCCTGGTCCTTGCCCAGAGCTCCAGCCCCAGCCCGCGGCGGTCGTCCTCTCCGCCAGCCAGCAGCAGCACCCCGATCGGGACTCCGTCCAACTCGGCCAACCTGCCCAACCTGAGCGACGTGCCCTCCTGCGTGAACACCTGCCTCGCGCTCGCCGCCGCCGCCGACGGCTGCCAGAGCTTCGTCGCCGTCGACTGCTTCTGTCCAAAGTGCGTCCCCTGCCCTGCCCTCTCCCCTCCTTTCCCCTGACCTGACCGCATTCGGGCAGCCCGGCGAAGTACACCGCGGCGATCCTGGAGTGCATGCAGCAGTGCCCCGACGAGATCGCCACCGCGGAGCGCGTCGCGCAGAGCCTGTGCGCCGCCGCCGCGTCCGCGACCTCGCTGTCCTTCCCGTCGTTCTCGCCGTCCCGCTCGCTGTCCGCGTCGTCCCGCTCGGGCGCCCCGCCGTCGTCGTCGGCAACGAGCGCCGCGCCGAGCACGAGTCCGAGTGCGAGTACCCGGCCGAGCGGGGCTGCGGGTGGTGGAGGGGCGGGGATGGTGTTGATGACGGCGCTGGCGGTGGTGGGCGTGGTACTGGGTGCCGGGGCGGGGCTCGTTGGGGGTTTGCTATAGTGACGGCCGTGGGTCGGGCGGTGTCGAAGGATGTCAGTGATATAGGCGGGCGTTGCTAGCTCTCCGGCGCCGCATTCGCATAATTCAGTCGAATCACTCCCTGTTCATCTTCCCTGCCCCAGTTCGCCCTGTCGCCGACCTGTTCCTTCGTGCATAATCTCTGCCTCCGCGCATATACCCACGCATCCACGACTCGTGCCCTCGTCACCGCCATCTGTACGTATTGTGTGTACTTGGCCCGAATACATCCTGCATCTGAACGGTAAAAAATAGTCGTGGTCGGTAAGCTATGCGTGCGGTGCCCGTGGTGAACGGACGACGGGCGGGAGGTGCAGCTGCGACTTGACCGAGGCGGAGCGGTGGTCTTGCGCGCTGTTAAGTGTGCTGTAAGAACTTGGCCCGGAGGTATATAAATGGCGATGCAGAGGTTCGCCGCCGGACACTGATGCTTGCGGCGGAAAAAGGTCACTGCCGCGGAATGGGATATCATTGAGCACAGCCTGTGTCCGCTGCGAACGGACGGCGGGCTTGACGTGATAATAACGGGGCGCCGGGGGTCCCAGGATCTTGGGCAGGCATGGATGGCGGACTGCATCCTGCTCCTGCCAGTGAACAGTAGTGTATCGAGAAGCAACAAAACGGAAACTGCCAGTGACACTCGCGGCAGCCATATGCATCTGGCCGGTGTGCCGGCTCCGGGCCGGGCCGCCGGCGTGGATGGACGGCGCGCGGGGCGGCGTGCGGGAGGGAGGGTGTGGAAGACAGCTGCAGCGGGGCCATTAGCGATTCCGGATCCTACCGATAGCTACGCAGCGCGGCGGGCCTGACCCAGCGCGTAGGCCTATTGTGACCGCAGGCTCCGCAGCAGTCCATACGGCGGGGGTGCGGTCGCCGGTCCGTATTTTATCCGGGTCTGGGTGCGCGGGCGGCGGGCGGCGGGCGGCGGGGGCCGCGGGAAAAGCGTCACATCTTGGAAAAACAACACATCTTGGAAAAACGACACATCTGAACACAAACCACTGAGCGCCTGTGTCCGCTGCGAACGGACGGCCCGGCGGGATGTTGGGCTTGACTTTGACGACTAGACGGGTGTGCACGCGGGGCACGGGCAGGCTTGCCGTGGGTGGTGCATCTTGGGCCAGTTCATCAGTAAAACTACAGGTTGGTCTTGGAGATCTTTGGTCTTTGAAACAGATCTTTGGTCTTTGGAATAGGTCTTTAGCAGTCTTGGTCTTGGGAAGGACAATCTTTGGTCTTGGGCCATGGTCTTTGGAAATGTTTTGGTCTTTACAAGTTTTGTAAAAGAAAAATGAATTGGTCTGGACATAAAGTTGGCTATTGGATCAATACACTTGGGAGCATTCTTTAATGGTTTCTCCAAAAGTTGTATAGACAGAGATATGCTAATTATCATGATCATGCTGAATGGAGACATTGGAGCAATAGAGGGGATAGAGGGCCTGTTCACCACTCCCAAGAGCTACATTGGTTTTATCACTACTGCCAATCAAGTGAGTGCCCCCAGACTTTGAATCACTTGTAGTGCCAGTGTTGAAATTCCGAGTGATCCGGAGAGCGATGGGATCAAAGTGAGCGCAATCAGTTTGCAATCACACTCCTGTGAGGGATCTGTGCGTTAGGGCAAACGATGCCCTACGCTGACTATCTATTCTGTTTATATACTAGTTATACATTCTTCTAGTATATTCTCAGGCAATCAGGAAAAATATCAGTCAGCAGAAAGTGGAAAGTGCCAGAACATTCCGGCGAGTCACACTGTGACCATCAGAACTTCAACACTCCCCCCATGACGAGCCGCTCCCCCATTCCGTCCGTGCTCCCCCATCAACTGATTGCCGTCCATAGATACCTCTGGCATCATGTAGTACACCAAGTTACGCAGCCCTTTGGCAGTCCGTCGCCGGCTCGCGCGCCTCATCCGCAAGTGTCAGCACACTCGGATTGCTGAGGCCTACATGTCCAGATCGTCACGGTCAAAGTACTGTTTGGGTTTTGGACATGGGTGCCGTCGGGAGTGAATATCCAGGGTGGGAAGAAGGTGGGTGAAGGATTAGAGTTGCTGTAGGGTAGGTGGGGGGTATAGTCGATGAAGGAAGTGCCAGTGACCATGGGTGCTTTCATCTTTTAGAGCGTCGTCGTCGTTCCGCGGTGGAAGCAGTAATGAGTGCGGGAGGACGGCTGACGGGTGCTGACAGGCCGCGGGAATGCCAGGTAAATGGCGCATAAGCAGCGGGCAGCATGGCACTCGCTCTGATCGTGAGCGGGTAGCCAGTGGGACAGAGAGCAGGTCCCAGAGGGTTGATCTGGCTGAGTTGGGAGCCAGGTCGGAAGCGGGGAGCAATGCGCAGCGCGTCGAGTTCGCGGGAGACCAGCCATGCTCCGGTTGCAAGCGGAAGACCGAAGGTGAGACAGCGGTTGCCAAGTCCCGGAGTGGTGCTATCAACGAGAAGAGTCCAGCACGCCGGCGGCGTCAATGCCGACAGTTCGATCGCATCATAGCGATGGGGGTAGCGTGGTTGCCGGCCTGAGAACACAAGAGTGGCGGCAGCCAGTTGCGAGAGGCAGAGGGCGGCGGCCTCAAGCGGGGAACAGGCTCGGCGCGGCGTCGATGAATCCGAGACGTCGTGGGAGCGCGTGGGAACGCCAAGCGAAGAAGCGCGCAGTGACAGGGCTTCGGCGCGTGGAGCCGATGGGCATGGCCAAGGGATAGCGGTCGACGGTGAGGTCGGACAGCGGCCAACGCATGCGCGGGCAGAGGCGCGATGCTGGGCGGGTTAACGGTGCCGTGTACCGTGATCGTTTGTGTTGAAATTCCGAGTGATCCGGAGAGCGATGGGATCAAAGTGAGCGCAATCAGTTTGCAATCACACTCCTGTGAGGGATCTGTGCGTTAGGGCAAACGATGCCCTACGCTGACTATCTATTCTGTTTATATACTAGTTATACATTCTTCTAGTATATTCTCAGGCAATCAGGAAAAATATCAGTCAGCAGAAAGTGGAAAGTGCCAGAACATTCCGGCGAGTCACACTGTGACCATCAGAACTTCAACAGCCAGTGGTAGTGTCGCCCTAGAAAACAGGTCAGAGTAGGGTGACCAAGAAAAAAAGGACATACGGCTTGCCAGTGATGCCAGGCCCACTGGCATGGGCCCAACACAGAGTTCTGGTCAATGTGTCCATTAGTTTTGCCGTGGTCACTGGAGGACATGAGAGCTCGACGAAAAGGAATGACAAGTTATTCCGGGGATAGCCGGCTACTCCGGGCATCCAAGCCGTCGCCCAGCGTCACGACGGAGCTTCTGCTGATCATCAGCACATGGTGACGTGACGGATGTGACCCGTTTTTCGTCGCTCTTCCCTCTCTCCCACCACTTCCCTCTCAATCCCCCCCATACACAGACCGGTGCTTACCCTACGGTGGCTGCGACATGACCCCGCTATGCTGAAGGACACTCACTGGCTGAGAATCTAGCGCATTGCAGCCATTTCTCGTGTGTGGCGCTATTTGCTCCTCCCTCCGAATGGTTCGCTGACCTGCTACCAGTGTCTATTCTTCCCTGCTCCAGACGTCAGGTATGTCCAAAACACCGCCGCCTAGACGCTCACTGACGCTTTTTACCGCAGCTGCTGTGTTCCCTTGGTGTTACCCTGGCCCCTGCCGACGCCCCCTCCTGCTACCCACGCCCAGCGCATCCTGCCAGACAAAAGCGCTGCCGACAAGGCAGCTATCTGGGCTGCTGGCGCCGGTGCGATCTGCGTCTGCACCGGTACCAATGCCTCAAAAGCGCTCGTCGCTTGAGCTCCTCCGATCCCCGAGAGGAACGGCTGCATCAGGTGTGTGTCTTGCTGCGACGTGTCCATACTTGTAATGCAACCACCGAGGTCGGGCGCGCTGGCTGCTCACAGAGGCCGGGGACATCGTTAACCCCGTCGTCGGGCAGATCGCCGTGCTCAACCCAGTGCTCGCCGTCACCAACGCCGTGGGCGCCCGTGCCGTCCTCCTAGCTGCTCTTTGAGTCGGTAAATGTTTCATCTTGAAGTTGATATGATATTACTGACTGAGTCTCCATAGTGCTCCCGGCGTCATTGGTGGTCTGCATGGGATAGTGCAAGGTGAGCTGAAAAGTCCCTTGACGCGCAGGTTTTGACATGTACACAAAGAACCCGAACCACAGGGCGAGCACGGTGATGAATTGGGCGCTGTTGGGGACCCTGTGGATGGTTACGAGGGTCGATGCGGCCTGTCGTAGGGCATGCGCCGAGAGCACGGACTGCAGCGCTGAGTCATTTACCCATGTAGAATATGTTGTTTGTATAGTATAATAATAATAATATATGAGCTTTTTAATTCGCATATGGTCTTGAGACTTCCGACAAACATCTTTGGCAAGCTAATTTACAATCTTGGTAAAGACCAACTAGGTCTTGGTAAGACCACTTTGGTCTTGGGAAAGACTCCCAAGACAACTGAATCTGCTTAGCCCAAGACCGCAGTCTTAGGCATCTTAGGCATCTTAAGCATCTTTGGCGTCTTGCCCAAGATGCCAAAGATGCCTAAGACCGAGGTGTAGTTTTACTGATGTTGCCCCCCCATCCAACAGTGTTCTGGTCCCTGGAGCAGTGCAAGACCGGGACATCCTTTGCCGACTCCATCATCATGTCAGACCGCCATATCTACATGCCCCCCTGATATTCACGGTCCCATTTTATTGTATTATACACAATTATTCAGCCACGACACAGTTATGAATAATTTGATCTAAATTCTTGGGGGGGTTTTGCCGGATCAGTGAATGACTTGGACCCTTATTGCCGGTGTGTATTATTATCGTTGCGGCCTGAGCAGCATAGATATAAGTAGTATATTTGCGTACTCAGGCTGGTATATCCTCACATTCGGGACCTTGTTTGTGACCTGTGTAACCCGGACACTGAGGATAATTATCAGTACTCTGCCGGAATAAAGCAAAAAAAAATTAAACACAAATTGCAGTTCTCTATATCCAAGAACTGCAATTTGCCTTTGAAGCTTGCAT